TTCTATATACCCAACTTGAGGTTGCACAGGAAATACATGTTGCAGTTGGACCTAGAAATAAAGACGTTGCACATCTTTATCAAACAGAAAACTTCACGATGACTTTAGCATTCAATTTCGAAACCATTAATGATTTAAACAAAATAAAATCTACAGTATTAGGAGTTTCGCAGAGAGGGTCCCTACGAAATTTCGAGGGAAATTGTTTAAAGCTTTTCTCGAATGCTGATAATTCAGCACGCAAACCCCTTCTCAGAGCCCCGGGTGGAAAGTATGCCTTGGAATATAAGCACCCTACCCAAAACTCTAACTCACCCGATGTTTATTCGGATTTCGAGGGTCCACTTTTAGGAGCATTTTTATCTCCATCCCCTGAACGAATGAGTGATTGTGGCTGATAAATAAGTAAGGTGGCTGTGTCTGCTGCCTTAGCAGGGGTAAGATTTAGACTGGGGTTCTTGGATAATTTTAGTATCATAACTCTACAAGTAAGTTCAGGGATCCTTCCTCATTGTGTAGGAAGTGTATGTACGAGTACAGTACCGTATCACACTCATGCCCGGTGTGGCCGTGCGAAAACTCAAGACCTGTCCTGGAGGTGGTCAAACCCTGGGTTTGGCCTGTGGTTTTGACTGACATCGTGGTTTTGAAAACCGAGCAGATGTTCGGCATGGTGTCACACCATAACCTATTCGGCCGGGGAAGCGGGGTCAGACGTAGGACGGAGGTGAATCGCTTCGTATGCGAATATTGCTTGAATCCCCCCGACAAAAATCAAACCTCCAAATTCAACTTGTAAAGGGCAGAATCTAACATAATGCGCCACCAGGGGATATCTTCCGCCCCTCTGAATTGCCCTTCCAAGAATTGGGAGTCGATGGGGCTTTTCAGACTCCCACGGAACTTTGTTTGGTGAATTATATAACTGATTCACTTCCCCATCTATCTGAACCCACTTCCCGGTCCATACGTTAGCTATCGGGAAATTCGAAACTTGCAAAAGAAAACATGAACCAAAGCCCGACCCCAACTCACCCACCAGCCCATCAGCACCGCTGCTTCAATCTTGCCATAACCAACCCCTCATTTGGCGCAAAAAAAAGAACTCATGCCGTAAAAAATCTCGTATTCCGCTATCTCAGACAGACCTCAAATCCCCCTACTCTGAGACATCCCCAAGAGGTATTAGCGTTTCCCTGGCACAGTAAGACCCGAGCGGGCTGGGAGTGTGTGTGGGATCTCACCAACTGGTATTCGCAAATCTGGCAACCTGTCAAACTGCACCGATCGTGTGGGTAGATGCTTCCCGCAAGATAGCTTGATTGTGGATAGTGGTTTTTACGGTAGTTGCCAAGCGCGTGCTTTCACTGCCTTGGTGCACCCGAACGTGCCCTTCGTGGGCTTTCGAGCTATGATACCGGTCCATCATACATGTTTTCTTTCCCTACGTCTCTTAGGTCTGAACCTCGTGTGACTTCCTCGTGCTGTCAATGTGCAATACATATTCTCCCACCCCTGCCTGACAGTAGCCTCCTTGTATCTCCCCGGGGCGTCTGTCTCCGCAATCCCTAGACTTGAATACCAGAGGGGGGATATCAAAGGGATACCGCATTATCTAGAAAGACCCCCCAGCTGCTACTACATTGAAATAATGTTTGGGTTAAAATAAAACCTCCAATATAGTCAAAAGTGTCCGAAACAGGCCTTTTTTTAGTCATGAAGGACTAAGTAAGGGTGCCTTGTTAATTTGAGAAAGGTTTTTGCTGGGGAAAACTCTCGTATTGACTAACAAGTGGCGGGCCAATCTCGCCAGAAAACACTGTATCCGATCCCACTCCCAAATGCCTATCGTATGAAAGATACAGTGTATCCCGTTGGCCAAGAGGTTCACTCGGTTCTTTTTTGGGGAGAAGAGGGGTGAAAGAAACAAAAGACCTTTTGGTTAGATACAGAACCCAAATCCCTTTCGAAAAAATGCTACGATATCAATAGATCTCGCGCAAGGGATAATCCAAGGGTGTGTATCTACAGCACGGTGCTTGCGAGCCATTGCGGTGCCCCTGAAGAGCCCAACCGTGTCTGTTGATGAACTAAGAGGTGGACCATAATTCGCAAGAGCCCTTGGCCATATTTGGATCTATCATAGCATGAGCACTCACACCCAGCATCATGACATATGGTTCGACACTGAACAGTGCTAGAACGGTAAATACATAACGCTGCGGGGACATCGTACGGTGTGATCTCGAGACTGCAACACGTTGTCACGGTAAGCTAGGCTTCACCCCCCGCATTGTATTTATTACTGTTGTAGCTAGGGAATCTACGCTCCCTCTCTCCCAAGGCCTCAAGGTACTGTATTTGGAATACGAAGGTAGCTGTGATGATACCACCACGAAAAATACCTTGGGATTATGGGGAAAATCTAGTGCCTATAGTAACGTGAGGTATTTGTTCCCCGCGTTCGGACGATATCTATCCGACTTACTTAAAGTTTCGCTTGATCCTTCCGGGAAAGCAGGACAGGTGGAATAAAGTGTCCGCAGGGTACAACTCGCCCTCCCACCTCCTTCCCCCCACCACTGTTCCGGAGCCCACGAGTATTCTAGGAAATTGTATCAGCAGCCTAAACCACAGAAAGGTGCCCCCCCCCCCTTTAGACCTCAGTACTGACTATTCCCCTAACTGCCTGAGCTGTGGGAACCGGGCGATGACACGACTCTCTTTTGGGTATCACAATAGAGGCATAGATTGTTAATTTTTCCTTCCTCCTCGGGCGGCTGGGCAACTGAATGGACTGGGAATTCATTGTACTTTGGGGAAGTTTGTTGAAGAAGGGATGGTGAGGAGCTTTGGATTTTTCTGATATGGATGGACCCGGTCGGGGCGGCCAGTAATCGTGCGGGACGAACACAAGCCTAGATATAGAATACCAAAAGCTTACTAACACGAGGTGTGCGCTTGCACCAACAGTTTTTCTGCCACAAGAAGCCCGGGTCTTCTTATGGTTGGTTATCACCAAGAGCAATAGGTTGTGCCGACTAGATCCAAATAATATGAAAGACGACTAGACAATTACAGGGCCCGGATGCCGGTACAAGGCCCCTCCCCCCTCCCCGCGAGTGGTATATAGAGCAAGGTTTCGTGAAGCGAGGTAGCTATTTGCTCCTAAATTACGCATAATGCTAAGAATTTATGGCTCTGATAGCTCTGGAAGTCCTCGAGAATGCAGAAGCGTTTCCCGGTACAGTACTGTACAAGTACGAGTAGAGTTATCGACGGGTGCAGGCTGAAAATATGCACTTCCGATACGAGTACTGTACCGCATGATACCGACATCATATGGGCACAACGCATAGTCTCGTGCGTTTCAGGTATCACAAGAATCGTACCGCCCGATCTACCATACAAGTACCACCCCCGAACAAGCGAGACCAGCCTCCGCGAGAACCCGCCCAATCAACCCCCCCCCCGCGCCCGCTTAAAATATGGCGATCTGGGAGTCTACTTGCGCTCTTGCTGACCCGGTTGTCCTTACACTGTAGTTCCAATCCGACCTTTACTAAAGGATACTGTACTGTACTCGAGTACGAGCTCTCGGAGAGTTTGATATCGGAGCAATACTATCTTTAGATTGGACAGACCTACCGGTAGAGCTCCACGTTCTGGGGAATCCCGATTACGGTAGCCTTCATTATCCGAAGAATACTCGATGACACTCTCTTTATTCCAAGTATGTGGCCATTCTTATCAAGACCCTTAGCCTTAGAGAAGGTTAGCGTTCCAGTCGGGGGAATCTTCGCAACCCGGAGCAGGCACTTTGAATGGTTCGAGCGGTGCAAAATGCGCACCATAAGGGCGCCTCACACCAGTGGCTTAGGTCAGGGACGCGTGCTACTGTACTATTCTAGCAGGTTTAGTTCAGTCTGGTGTGAGATATCCTACTTGTAGTATTGTACTGTACAGATTAAAAGGTTTATTACGATACTCATTTTGATTATTCGTTGTGTGGAGAAACCTTCTTTGCACTAATAAGATTTTCATCACTAGTGGCTGGTGAGTATTCCTTCTTTTGCACAAGTCAGCAGTGTACTGTACCACCACCCTCTGAACCTCCAAACATCCTGCGTACTACCTCCAGAGCCAGTACTAGTACCTGCAGTTCACTTTTCCGGTTTGTGGTTCATGAACTGCAAATCGCCTCATTAAACTAGGGTGAACAGGCGGTGTGAGACCCCTTAGGTGCAACTTTCAAATTCTACAGCCTTTGCGACCACCAATGTAATTGAGAAAGAAAGAAAATCATGTTTCTCATTCTCCTTCACTTTTTCTTTAGTGCACAGAGTTATTTTTCCCCTCAGGTACATTAGTGGTTGCAGAGGCTGTAGGATTTGAAAAAGTTGTCCATGGCGCACATTTTGATCTGCTCGAACCAGACATCACAACCTACAACACAATACAAGGCAGATTTTGATGCACCCGCGAGCAGATTGGACAGCAACAACAGATAGGGTCCTCGAAAGTGAGGGGGTGGCAGGAGTGCTCGAGCACGATCCTCCAAGGCGGTTTAGCACCTTCAGCCTAGCAGGGATATTCCGCCTCTCTGCCTTTGGCGTTCCAAGATTTCCCTTTGAGCAACTCGCTTCATCGTGCGATTGTTGGGGGCACGTGCCGAAGCGGAGAGGGAATGGGGGAGCTCAGCGCGACAGGCAGACGTCCCTCCACCTCCATGTGAATGATGCAGCGGCTTGATACGAGGAGTGTGGTACTCCACTTGCGCCGCTACAAGTATAATGTGCCTCACATATCCCCCTGCTGGGAGCCCGACGACTCGTTCACGTCTAGCGAGCGAGCGGCAAAATAATTACACCGACATCGGTCCGCCGACGAATTATATCACAACCTCGACACGCGGTGACACAAGTGGTACAGCACGATACCCCGTTTTTCATGGTTGGCATTGATAGGGATTTGTGAATGATCATAATGCCCGGTTTGCTGGTGAAGTGGCCCTTGTGCCGTGACGTTGCCGATAGTTCATGGTAGGCTGCTTTCAACCTCAACCCTCCAGCCTCGTAGGAAGAAACGATTATATATCAGGCTCTCCCTGAAGACACTCTGGGGTCACACATGCTTCTTTCTATTTCGCGATACAGATACAAGCAAATTCACGCGCACCTTCCCGAATACTAGTGTTTCATTAGGTATAATTCTCACAAGATGTCTAGCCAGCACTCTCGATATCAAAGAGTGGTCGCCGCTCTTGGCTTTGCAAAAATGTACAATTTTCCACTATGTATGTGTCTCTTTCTTCTAAGCCGAGTTCTGTTTTCACAGCTGATAATGAATAGGGGTGATTTTCGGAGGCGTAATGCTAGGGTTTTCCTTGGCCCGCTTCCAATACCTCTCAGACCAAGTCCTCGAGGACAGTCTTGCGACTGGGGAATGGTATTGGTTCAGTCAAAATCTTTACAATACCTGCTTGAAGATCCATCTAGGCTGTATCCTGCGTACGTTCAACTATCTCGATCCGTTACCGTAGGAGCTCGAATGGAAGATGTGCTAGGACGGTTGAGTTGCCCTTCTCGGTTATGCGGGGGTGGGAACACCGCAACCTCGGTCCTCAGTTGAGACAAAACAAAAGGATATGTACATCGTCTGACTAGGAGGGGCAACTACAACGTCCTACTCATTTATCTTCCATCCGAGTTCTCACTGCAGTCAAACCTTCCTGGACTGACCGAAACAATAGCATGTGGGATTATCGGTGTATTCCAATTCCTTCCCATAATCCGCAAGGTATGCTAGTCTTCGAGTATCACAACCTACAGCAAGCATTTATACTAACGGAAATCAGAAAGCGCTTCTACTTCATCGGATAGATGGCTATATATTCCTCCTACTTTTGTGGGTTTCCACTGGGGCAGCTTTAGCCATAGCTCGTAGGTCATTTGGCGGGACAGTGGAGACACAAGCAGGGGTGTTTGTGCTCTCTTTCTTGACATTGACGTCGAGTTCGTTGGCCTACTACAACATCAAGAGACTACAAATCGAGCAACATAGGGCGTGGATGCTACGGACAATGATCTATGTGAGCTTGACAGCTAGCCCCGTGTTCGCCGCTAATCAGAGTTTTAGATGGGTTCTATAATCACCATGAGGATTTTAATGATTATTAGCGCTATTTCGGTCACTGTTATAGGCTCCTATCACGGGGTAATTCTCCGGCCGGCACCTCTGTTCCTCCTTTCCCCAACCAACTAACTTTTGAAAAGTTGCTTAACTGCGATGAATTATCCGCGATCGTCTCCAATTCTACCCGCTTTGATATAGACTACCCGACATGCAAATCAAGTCCGGGCACTCTCATCCCGATTCGTGCAAGCTTAGGCGGGGACAATATGGAGGATGAGAACGCGAGCGTTGCCTTCAGATTGACGTTTGGCACATCACTGTGGGTAGCCGCAGTGGTCCACTACCTCGCTGCCGAGATATATGTATGCGATTCTTTGAAAAATATTATATATAATTTAAGCATGTTCGAAGGCTAACGGGTCGAGCAGTTGCGTCTTACACCTGCCGAGAGTGAGAGATTGCGGATGGTGAGCTATGAGCGGCAGCTGGAGAGAGGGTGGATTCATCCGGGGAGCGGTGGGTTGACGAGCGATCGCTGGGGAGATGCTAAGTGGTCTCCCGTCCCGATGGAGGAGGCGGCGTCCGAAAGACCTGGGAAATAAATCACTATCCCCACTACCTCATGCGCAAATAAGGCATCTCCTCTGATATGAACCCTTCCTTATCTCTACCTGCCCGATATGTCTCAAATAAGTTTTTATTTAAAAATAAGCTACGATCCTACACACAATGCTTTAATAAGCCAGCCATATGAACATTTGACTTTTTACCCATCAGCCCAAGTTCCTCTTTTTACAGCCACGCAGCAAAAAAAAAATCCCAAATTTCATATCCTATTGCCCACCCAATACTGACCTCCCAAGACCCGCAGGAAAAAATCGCTATAGATTTTTCCCCCCAGACGGCAACCACTATATAAGCTAGGTTTCCTTTCATTCAGAAACACATCATGATAGAGCCCGGAACATTTATGTAAATACTAAGTGAACCGCCAACCACACGTGCTCAGAACCGAACGCGGTTTAGAGAGGGGGGGGGGTCTGCCGGGTTGTGAGGTGTAGGGAAAGGCACTCCTGCGGACAGAGAAGGCCGAGAACGAAAGACGGAGGAAAAGAGGAGGATGCAAAATTAAATTAATACAAGGGTCGAGAAAGCACCACGAACACCAGTATGCAATCCCCAGGCGACCGGAACTGGAATCACTGCCAAAGAGAGATTTCTATCACCCCTGCAGGGGCGTATCATGCTCGGGATTGCGTAGGAAGATTACGCATTTGTAAGGTGCGTTACGCTCATGCTCGATGCTGACGATGGTGAGGGTAGAAATAAGAGGCTGCTGTTGAATGGTCAGTGGCTCGCCGGTTCCTCTCTGGGTTTCGTTACTTGTTTCGAGTAACCCATCGGGGGCTGCCGTATGGGGCTACTATTTGGGGCGGTTTGGCAGTTGGCTGGATTCTAGGGCGCCTGGTCCCCCCACCCCCCTCCTTTCCCGCTGAATTGTTTCATGGTGTGATACTAAACGTCTAATTGTGGTTATGCGGCGACTCCGGAGAGAAAATAAACTTGGTTGTATGATATACAACCGGAAGATGAGCGGGTTTACATAACCACTTCCAAGAAGAGAATGAAGACGGGAGAGAGAGAGAGAGAGAGAGAGAATAGCAATGAACAAAAGACCAGCCGGGAAAAGAACTAGGAGCCAAAAGAGACCCAGTGCGTACAGCGGATAAACACCAAATTTTGAATATTATATTGCCTGTTGTTGTCTACAAAGCTTTTCGTTATCTATCCCACACACATCACCCTCGCCCTTTATCGTTCCTTTATATTAGGTTTCATTCGTTTTGGTAATGCGGCGCTTTGGGTTGGTTCCCGATTACTCGGCTGCGGATATGTCGCATAAGTTGCTTGTATCTGTATCTTTATTCCCTTTGGCTCTGAAGGCGAATACTGGTGTGGGGGCAATGTTGTGTTAAGGTCTGAAGATGAGAGAAACTGGTTTCTTCTGATGATGTATGCGGTCATTACTGCCTTCTTTATACGCTCAGGCATTACCTGTAGGCCTTTGCCTTCGGTTTCTCCAAGGGTTATTGGAGTCGTTCGAGCTGAAGTCATCAAAATACTACTGTTCTCTGAGAGCGTATCTGAGCTTATTACAACATCAAATTCGCCACAAACATCGAGTGATCATCCATGACAGGCTGCCCCCCACTCCAGCCACGCAATCGACTAATACCCCCCACCCCCACACGGAGGTGAGCTTACGAGTATCATACCGCACCACACCCTCCACTAATTGAACCTTCATAACCCTTCCTCGCCCCATACTCTATCATACTCATAACTCTTCCTACTCACCCAAACAAAAGAAAGCAAGGCAGATCCATCCGGGGATATTTTCCGCCATTTCCATGCTCACTCTTCGAGCACTACCCGTACTTGCTTTATCTCTGGTTACAAAAGACCTGCACGGTCCACTGCGATCTGAGGCGCAACAGCCAGAACCGAGTTTAAACCACGTCTCTCGAGACTTCTGGTACACACGGGAGATAGCACGTTAAAAAGCTTGATGCGAATTACCTACTAGTGTAGGGCCCCCTCTCCCCCCTTCCCTTCACCGGAGGAACTGAGTTTAGTGTGCGGTAGTATTTTTCTTTTTCCTTTTTGCTTCTTTTTGTATGATATTTCGTTTGTGTGGAGGGATACGTTTGGGTAACGTTGATCCAAGGCTGCCAGATTCGGTGGTGGCACAAAGGTTAGGGCACGTCAGCGATATGCAATGTTTTGACCCGGGGTAGATGGGCTTCTGGGAGGCTCTCGCGGGGGCTTGCTGCTTGCTCATCTGGGAGGGAGGGTGTTCCCCCCACGCCCGTCCCCTCCTCGGTGCGCTTTTTCGTCGCCAGGACTCTCAGAACACCGATTTGCTCTTGCTCCTTTGTTTCCCACTACCTTCGCGGTGGGTGGAGGCAGCAGACGACGCCCCGGATTTACTAGAGATACTTGACGATTCGGATCCTGTCAAGCAAACCTATAACGATTAACTGCGAATGTGTTTAGACACCTCGGACAGCGAGTATTTGAGGCTGTTCCCAGACTTGGGTTCCACATGTTGGATGGCACATATTGCTTCAGATTTGGTCCCGTGCGAACCCTATTTTGAGGCTCTGACCTTGACATAGCCTCTCAGCACTTCTCACCCGACACCGACCCACAGGCGTGTTTTGCTATCAAGCGTCAGAAAGAGGCCAAGGGTTGTAGCGATATCCATGTTACCATAAAAACTCTTGAAATCCGCTGCCAGATCACCGTTGAAATCAGCCCGCCAGCACACTATAGATTTAGTTTTAACAATTGTAGATATCAATTCACGAGGTCCAAAACATCCGGCGAGCCGATCTTATGCCAGGATAACGCTAATCATTCCCAGGAGCTCTTGTCTCGGATCTGGCGATTACAGGGCTGGGGGAGACTGTGGGTTTCAAGAGTTTTTCGGTATCGTATTTGCTCGCAGTGTAGCCCTGACCTGTCCGAGTGTGATGTCTCACGCACGGATGTCACTCACGTAAGGTTACAAACCACGATTGGAGAGGGACTGGGAATCCGATACCTCTTGAGCCTCAAAGAAGTTGGTGCCAATGAAGCAGTTTAAATCGGCTGGCATTCACAGAGCAGTTGTCCCATTTTCTGTTTCTTATAAGCTAAAGGCTTGGGTATCCTTCTTGTGAAGAGTGGATGTCCATGGACTTGCCTTTCGGCCTAGGTAAGCTCCCACATGACGAGCTCGCTTGCCGAAGAAATAAAGACTCTATAAAATACCGTACTAGTACAGTAACCCGGAGTTTAGACAAGTCAAGTCTTAGCGATCAAGGAGGACAAAGGCACCGGTGGTGCCACGGTGGCTGGGGGTGAGCGGGCCGTTCGCAAGCAAGCCTTCGGATAGATCTCATCTCACTCTTCCAAAGTCACCATCCTTGGCGTCCACTTTTGCTCTTCCTTCGTCCAAGAAATCTGTGGAGATCTCTTGCGCCCAGAACACGAAGCACTAAGTTAAGGGGTACTGTACTTGCGAAATCGCCAAGATGGTGACTATAAACCGTCGGGTAAGATTGCTCCCCGGTGGAGGCTGGGAGATGACCATGAGGAGGTGCAAGTTGGGAGGGATAAATTGAGGAGGGAAAACACTTCTTTTGCGATTTAAAGTTTTCCCAAGCTAAAGCATTGAATTTGTACTTGTATTTTCTCCATAAGCACCTCTAAGATGTGGTGATACCCCTCAAAGCTGTGAGATCCTTTCTCACAAACCTATTTTTTTTAATTTTTTTACAGACTTTATTCTCTCTAGTCATTAATCTACTATAGCACCCCCTACCTTACTACCTACAATTGGCTACCCTTCTCCCATCCCTTGACCTGTTCCGAATTATCTGCTACAGTAACTACCTAACTGCCGTACTCGAGTACACTGTACTGTACAAGTATGAACTCGAATAAACGGATCATGTGCTTTGTAGTCCAAAATTTCCTCCTCCGGAAAGGGGGCGGAGAACGCACCGAAAGATCCGCTTGCCGAGACAAATAAAAAAGAAAGAAAAAACGCCAGACCTTACCAGGAGAGGCAACTCCAACGTCCTAACACATGCTCTGATTATTCGAGTTCTTATGATACCGGTATCAGGTTGAAATGAACCTTGAGAAGAGATGGGCTCGCAACCTGAATATCTCTTATTGGTGAGGTTACAACAATCGAAACGTTTTCGCCACAAGTTGTTCTTCCCTTTCAGCTACCATAAACACTATTCCCCAAAGCACACCAAAGCAGTGCGGACTTTGGGGGCAAAGAAAGGGATCGAAAAAAATCACTCCTTCAAGTCACAGAGTGTGCCAGAATAGAAGGTGGGAAAGAAAAGTGAACAGTTCGGGAACAAACGGTAATCCCTCCTCGATCTATATTCTGCAAATGGTTTATTAAACGGACATTACAAGTGCAATATACCATAGATAATCCCCCCTCCCCGCAGAAGGAAAAAACAAAAACAAAAACCAGCTCTCAGAGATCGTTCTCTGGATATCCCGGCAACAATACTCGAGTAGTTTCGGGCGGGATCAGATGCATGTTGATTGATCACCTGTGGATTATTTCCTAAACGAGCACATTTTCGCGTAGGCTGTACCTCGTCATATTTCTCCGCCCCTCGTACACGGGCGGATCTCAGGACTTTACACGAGCGTCTGGACTATCTGTCATATGTAGGTGGAACATTGGTACGTGGAAGCGATTACGGCAGCACCCGAGCGGTCGGGCTGGGATTGCAAAGCTTAGCAATTGATTGAATGAGTTAGTCCAGGCCCGCAGGGAACAATTGAACTTCTGTCTTGCATACCGGTACGATACCCTACCCATGAATTGCTCGTTCTGATGACATCTGGATAATGTGGTATGTTCTGGCGCGGGATTGATATTATGGTTTTTTGAGATGGGGGAGGAAGAGGCCAGGCTGCTTCTGCCAAAGTCCTGAGATCCACGTCACAGATTTCCGGATTTCAGATTCGAAGGTCTTCCCCCCCGCAAGACAGACAGATACTTGGAGAGTGCTAGGACGTT